GGGGCTGGGGATGCGCCGCCCCTTGCCACCACTCAAATTTTTTGTGCCCCTCCCTAGCGGCCGCCATGCGTCCGCGAAGTCGCGCGGATGCATGGATGCGTCTGCGGACCTGGCCGTGGCCGCGGACTTCACTGCGCCTGGTCGCCACCGGGGGGGATTCGTAGTTTTCGGGGGGGGGAAGAAAAAAGAAAAAGATAAACAGTTGTGCTTGAGGCTTTCAGCCAATAGGGTGTCACCACGATCCCGGTTCGACCGTTGTAACGTCTCCTCTACGTGTGTGTCCTCTCCTCTCCGTCAATTGCGGCTCCTTGAGCCCGAAGGACCTCAGGAGGACCCTTGAATCCAAGGACGCAATGGCTGGCGATTCTGAGGATCCCCAAGGAATCTCCTGGGAGCGTTTTAACTTTGGGCCTCGTTAATCCAAGGAATTCGGTGGATTAGGACGCGGTGTAACCATGCCGAATTCCTAAAAATTGTCTTTCCAAGGAGGGTCTAACGAGGCCCTATAGCAAAAACTATTTCTGAGACCCAACAGATCTTGTCCTAGGCACCAGAGAGTTAAACCAAACGCCTCAGTTCGAGACCAGCAGGAGACCAATAGACTCATCTATTCCTACATCAATACCCCAGGCACGGCCCACCTCAGAAAGGGTCTGTACCCAGGTTCACAAGGTATAACTGAGACCCTAAGAGAAAACAGACTAACAAGGTATGACAGTACCCACCTCCGAACCCAACAAGGCTAGACTCGTACGCCGAGTACTTAAACCACCAGTACTTGGCCCATATATCGGCCGCGGGCCATAGCGTTAACGCTACGCGAAGTTCGCGCTTCGGGCAACCAGACCTGGAAGGCTGGCGCCGCCAGCCTTTCCAAAAGCCAAAATCGAATTGGCGTTTCGGCGGGAAACGGCGCGCAGGGCACTTCCAGGCTCGGCTGCGATAGCTGGGCCAAGTACTGGTGGTGTAATCCAATACCAGCCAAAGAGCGAAGGAGGAGAAATTGGTCTCCTGGCCGCGGCTGCGGCCGACTTTTCTGGTTGCGGCGGCCATATTGCCCGCGGCCGTGGCCGCGGGTGTCACGTAGCTTGCAGGGGACGTGTGCGGGGAGAGAGAGAGAGAGAGAGAGAGAGAGAGAGAGAGAGAGAGAGAGAGAGGAGATGGAAACACACGAGAGGCAGCAGCTGAGTGAAGGTCCAGTCTGATCGAATGAATGAACGAACAACTAAAGAATGGCTGAACCAACCTCCCGACCTGAGCCTAGGCTGAAGCCGCTGAAGTGATATACCGGAAATACCTGGTCCCGGTCCAAGATCAGGCCGACGGGCTGAAACTGGGCCAGCCGGCCTCAGTGCCGAGCCGCAGGGGTACCACTTCAGTGCCCATGTGGCAACTGTGGCAGCCGTCTCAGCCAAGCGAGCCCTTTCCAGTATTTCTTGACAGGGCTACAGTGTGGCCGTGAGATGTTCAGATCGGATGGCAGGAACCGCTGCGTGCTCAAAACTAAGTGTAAACCCTCGCTAGTGGGGCGCAGCCTTGACACTTGAGATATGACCGGCCACAGGTGGCCCCCGACCTTCGAGGAAGTCTTTTTTGACCTTACAGGGGTGTTTGAACGCTTGACAATTGCATGTGTAATCGTTTTTGACCTCTTCCTTTCCTCCTAGATCGGCGAATTTAGGAGGAAAGAGGCTGTTGTGAGGCTGTTCGGGGTCACTGAAACTCGCCGGGGATGAGATTGGCCCTGAGCGGACGAGAAAGGCGCCGCGGCAAGTACGATGGCAGCCGCTGCACCGCTTTCCAGCGCTGACCAAGTGCTTGCCTAGCGGAGTGGCTAGTCAGGTATCAGCAGTGCCGCTGCATCCCATGAGGCCCAGACTCGACGGGAAATATAGCTCGCTTGCGTATCATCGAGTGAGGTGGAAGGGCATATTGCTCTGGAAATATAGCTCGCTTGCGTATCATCGAGTGAGGTGGAAGGGCATATTGCTCTGGCATTAGTTGTGGGAGTGTCTGCTGTGGATATCTGCGGGAGTAACGTCCGCTTCGGAAGTGTGGAGGAACATCTAATACCCACGAGGCGAAGACACCCAAGGAGGTGAAGAAGCGAATCTCTCCGAAGACGGTAAGAGGTGGAGCCGCCGAAGGACGGGAAGAGGTGGAGGGCAGACAACCTTTCAGGCGGCGCTGGCCCGCATTCGGAAGGTGTGATGGCGAAAGCGTCTGCTGCAGGCAGTTGACCGGTACTACGGCAAGTGTGGCAGCTCACGAGAGGAAGTCGAGATTGTTGGTCAGCGTCAACTGGCTGGTTAATCTACCGTGGCCCGTGGGGGTGCGAGGTTGTACGTCGACAGTGGTAATGGCGCGCAATATCTCACACACGCAGGAGCAGGTAACCGGGCACAAGACGTCGTTGACCTGAGTGATGTGCCGCTTGGCAGCGGGCTTCGTTGACAAAGTCAGATAGAATCAGGACGAAGAGAAGGGAACTGGAGAGCCTGGAACGGGCACGGTTTACGGCGAAGTCTATCGGCAAGTTCGAGGCGCGGTGGAACAGAATCGATGTGAGGCTTGGTGGAACAGAATCGATCGGGCGACCGGCGGCTGGTGGGTGGGCGAGACGTTTTTGTCGTTGGTGAGCGAGGCAAGGCGTCCGTCTTTGGAGTTGGTGAGCCAGGCGCGTCGACGGGAATGTAGTATCTCAGGCTGAGTGAGGTAGGTTGACGTGGTCTTGACGGCGCCTGCGTTTGACGCGAGTCACGACAAGGCGGATCACATCACAGCGGGAACGATTTTGTGTCACCTAGGTATCATCGAGAGTGTCGTCGTGTGTCGTTGTGTGTACGTTTCATAGCGTTTGTACGTATCGTCTCGCGGGGTGGATTTGGTGATAGACTGCGTGACGAGGTGGGTATTGTCCGCGGGTTTGCTGCTGTTGCGGTAGTAGGAAGCGACACGGAAGGTATTGGACGGCGCTTTACCTAGGAAGTGCGTTTTGTGGGAGTCGGTCGGTGGGACTGTGGTTTTCCAGCCAGGAGTCAAGGGCAGGATGGACACGACAAGTGTGGACCAGGTGAAGAAGGAGGTCATGGAGGTGGGGAAGAGGACGAAGCACAAGCTAGAGGAAGTGGGTGCGACAATTGCGGAGAAAGCGGAGAAGGAGCTGCCACCGCCTCTGAGTCGTTTGACCAAATGGGTTCGTGGGATGGGTTACAGGCAGTTGATATTCTTGGCGGCTGGTCTTCTGTTTTGCCTTGTCCTCTCAACCCCTCTCCTGCTTCTTTTCGGAGGGTTTCTGATCCTTGTCACTCCTGTGATCCTCCTCACGTCTCCCATTTGGGTTCCGATTGTAGTCACAGTAGCGGTCTTCACTCGTGATTACTGGTTTCCTGCTGTGAAGTCTGGAGCTATAAGAGCGTCCATTGCCTTGGGGGGGGCATTGAACAGAGTGCAAGATGCGTTACCTCTGCCTTTGAAGAGTTTGTTTTCGGGCTATCGCAAGCTGAGCTACAAGGCAGAGGCAGCGATAGCCGTTGTGGTGGGTGCGGTGGTGATGTCAATAATGGGCTTTCTGTTGGTGGTAGGACCTCCCACACTGTTTTTCGGCGGCGGACTACTTTTGGCTTTCTCACCCCTTCTGGTGGCGACAGTTCCACTCTGGCTTCCCGTTTTCTTATTAGCTATCGATCTAGCGAAGGCCGCCATTAGAGGCATTGGTCTGCTGTTCACGCTAGCGACTGTGGTTTACCAAGTGTACAAGTATTTCGTCGGGCCTGCATCTGAAGAAGGGGACATGGTCTCCAGCGTGGAAGGGCTTGTGCAGATCCAGGAAACGCTCAAGCAGACCAAGCAATATCTCGCAGAATCCGGTCAAAAGCAGCCGGAGTGAATGAATGGCGATTAAACTACGGCCACGTAAGTCATAACGACATGGTATGCATTCGTGGAAGAATAGGGGGTACTGAGGATTGTATTCTGTAGTGGATCATGCTGACTACATGTCCATGAAGTTGTAGCTCTGTGAGTGAATAGGTGGGGTTTCAGGGCTGCGGTGGGCCGCTGCTGTTGCGTTTTGAATGCCGAGTAGGCTGATTGAGGTCAGAAGTATCTCGGAACTAACTGAGAGGAGGTCACTTAGTTCAGCGAAATGTTTGTGTAAGGAGTTTGAGAAGAACAAGAGTCAGGCAGAAGAGGCGAAGGTTACAGCCGCGGCTTCATCTGAGCCCTCTGTTGCACTAGTGTTTTGTCGTTGTCCCCTCTGTGAACTTTCAAAGCATAAAATTTTTGCAGAGTGCTTTGACCGCTCGAAAGTGATCGGGATCTCGTGGAGTAGCGGGATTTGTGTGCTCGGCTTATTCGTTTGTCGACGTCTCTGACCATGGAGGTGTAATGACGGACAACGAACTGCGGATCGACCTTTAAGGTGTAATGATGGGCAATGAACTGCGGATTTCGTGTAGCTGCGCTCCATTTACTGCCATATGAAAGTATCGGCTTTACTACGGATTGCGTGTAGCTCACTCCACTCACTTCCATCAGAGAACCAAAAGAGCAAGAGAGGCATGCTGATTTTGTATTATTTTCCTGGACATAATTTGGCGGTGATTGTGGTCACCCGCGTCCCGAGAAGTTGAGTGTGAGTGCACACGAACACAGTTTCTCCGAAAGGAGCACGGAGAAGTGACAGGACGAGGATTCAGTTAGTTGACCAGAGATCGAGCCTTGTTGTCTGCGTTGTTTAGACACTCGTGTGCGGAGTCTCGAGATGTATGTCCGTTAATGCAGTAGTATTAGACGTTCATGTCCGGAGTCTCGAGAGCTATGTCCGTCGATGTGCGTGTGTTTTTCTGTGGGTTGACGGCTGTGGGGTGTAGGATATGTTTTTGACGGTTTCACCCTAAGGCTTGCTGTTGCCTCCCTCATGAGCTCTCGACGCTTCCTGTGAGATGTGGAATATCTTTGTAGGTAACTCGGTGTTTGGGCTCTGGCCTGTTGCTTGAAGTTCGTTGCAGCAGGTAGCTGAAAATCGATTCGAGTTCGTGGAATCGGAGGGCTGCTCTGAGTTACTACTATCCTCCTGCCGAGTTGAGGGAATCCTCCGAATATAGCGAGTTGTCTAGCAGGCTCTTGAGACCGCGTTTTGGAAGAGCTAGTAGTTGGCGGTTCGCTGAAGATGTGTTTGTAATTTGCCCTTTGGAGTGTAAATTGTCCGACTTTAGAAGTCTTTGCCTCCGCGTCGGTTCATGGTACTTTTCCTCCTGTGGCCAAGTCCCAATTACGCTTATTCTTTATTTCTGGCTGTCGATCTCTGTGATTTACGGTCGGGAATGAAGGATCCGGCTAAGTGGGACTTGGTCCCTGGGAGAGCGGCGAAGAGACTTTGACAGTTGTGTTGGGCCGCAGTATCATTTAGAATCGTAATCGATTCCCTCCTACTTAGGGCGCCACGTAGTAACTGTACAAGCAAAGATGGTTTAGTTGGTAGCTATAGCCTATCGGGGTCCCGATCATGATGGTCGTGTGGAGGTCGCGACCGTGTGTCGAGGTGTTCCGGGCGTGTTGCAGAAGTGGTTTCGGTCGTGTGTTGTAGATAAAAATGGTTTTGACCGTTCAGCGCAACTTAGAGAATTTGTGAGGAAATGACTAAATACGGGTTGATATTAGGACCCTTCGATGTGAAAGTGTGGATGTGCTTCTTGCTTTCTCGACGAACGTTTGATGATTAATCACACAGAGTATATGGTTTGCTGACTGTTTGTCAGGCCGAGGAATCAAGGATATGGACAGTTTCAGGCGCTTATCATTCGTCGTCGTTTTTTAAGTTTGGCGGCGGAAATTGACTTCTACTTCGGGCGTTCGCAGTCATATTTTCTCTGAGTCTTTTTAACGAGATCGAGATCTCGTATTGTGCAACAGTTACTATCCTCTTATGTTTTTCTAAGACTCGTCGTTCTCCGGTCTTCCCTCTCCCGTTCTGCTTTCCCGCCCCTAATTCTTAGGGTGCTGATGCATAACTGCTTTGAATACCCGCTGGCCGGTACCCTCCTGTGATTGCGTATCTTGTTCGTATACTAGATCCTCAGAGCGATGTTCTGTCGAAAATGATTCGATTCCTTTTATTTTCTTTTTTTTTTTAATAAAAATGATTCGATTGCTGAGTCGTGTGAACTCGGAAAAACGTGACACATGAAAGCTTGTGACTCACTTTTCCCCATGATGATACCGTTCTGTATAATAATTTAGAAGTGTGCGACGAGTTGGAAGAAGCACGGGAAGGTGGTTTGCAAGGAGAGTGTAATTAGCTGTGAAGAATCATCGAAAGTTGGACGGCAAGGAGAGTTTGATATCGTGGAAGCAAGCGGGGAAGGTGAATGATAAACAGATGGAGGGGCACACGGGAGAGTAATTACGAGCACTTTCGCTTCGCGTCTTGAATAATTGATTAATCATTCTCTGGCCAGATGGGTGCGTCTTTTGTTTGGTTCGTTTGAAGTTTTGTTCTTATAATGAATTCGTCAAAAGAGTATGTGAAGATATTTGACTAAGCGTATTAAAAATGGGCAATGCCTCTAAGGGCGAATCACAAATATACTGGGTTTGTGGAGTCTCGTAGCAAATGTACTGGCCGACGTATGTTTGGTGTCAAACGGGAAAAAAAGTATCGCAGGTCCCAAAATCACTTTTGGTGTCTTTTTGCATTCTGGCTGGGGCGGTAACGGCCGCTGTGTAAAAATGGCGGGAAAGTGTTTTTGCAGGATGCAGAAATGACGCCCGAAGTGATTTTGGGGCCTGCGTCACCTTTTTCCCCGTTCGGGGTGAAATGGATACGAAGGTTTCGTTGGGGGTAAGTTTTTTTTTTACGACTTTTCCCGGAATATATCTTCCGTCACAAATAAACCGTTTCTGTTTATGTAGGCCTCTTTTTGAGGGCGGAGGAGCCGTCAGCTACTGAGCCCTAGCCATCGAGCACTCACGCGAAGATATCTTACTAAGTGTATTAAAAATGGGCAATGCCTCCAAGGGCGAATCACAAATATACTGGCTTCGTGAAGTCTCGCAGCAAATGTACTGGCCGACGTATGTTTGGTGTCAAAACGGGGCGGGGAAAAAGTATCGCAGGTCCCAAAATCACTTTTGGTGTCTTTTTGCACTCTGGCTGGGCCGGTAAGGGCCGCTGCGTGAAAATGGCGGGAAAGTGTTTTGCAGGGTGCAAAAATGACGCCCGAAGTGATTTTGGGGCCTGCGGCACCTTTTTCCCCGTTCGGGGTGAAATGGATACAAGGGTTTCGTTGGGGGGAAGGTTTTTTTTTTTTACGACTTTTCCCGGAGTATATCTTCCGTCACAAATAAACCGTTTCTGTTTATGTAGGGACTCTTTTTGAAGGCGTAGGAGCGGTCAGCTACTGAGCCCTAGCCATCGAGCACTCACGGGAGAGGCCCTTGACCCTGCCCGGTACCGGCCTGGAAGACTATGTTCCAGGATGGAACCTGAAATCTTTGTTTTTTTTTTGTATTGAAGAGGTTCGTTTTTAAATATTGTCTGTGCACGTGTGCACTTCTTCACCGTGGCCAAAAAAAAAGAAAACAATCTACTTG